GGGCTTTGGAGAAGAGCATATTGTATTTTGTTAGTTGCTCAATAATAATAGCTGAATGGTCCTTATTTAGAAATGTTTCATCTATCTCTTCACCTGCATCCAGAAAATGGCTCTCGCTACTCAATTTCCTTAAAGAACACTTACTAAATAATTCAGTTGTGGTCAAGCTGTCCAATGTATTGAGGATAGCAGCTTGCAATTCCACATAAGCCTGAACTGGAAAGTCAAAAGGATTCAATTTTTTCATAATGAAGGAAATCAATCTTTCTGACCTTCTTAAACATGTCAAAGCAACATTTTCTTGGCCTATCAAACCAATAGTTCCACAAGAGATAGTACATGTCAATAAGGCTCTCAAATCAAATTTAATGAGGGCAAACAAATCCATTTTCGAATAAAATTGAGATTTGAGAATACCATTGATATTTCCTTGATCTAAACCTTTTTCTAACAAGCCCTTGAACACTTTTAACTCTTCAGTTAATAATGTCACTGTTTGTTCAACAACTTCATTATTCCCATGTTGGAGCAAGAATATATAAGTGGCAGCAGAACTTCCTGTTACCAAATGATTTGGATGCAGTCTAAGCTGAGATATTGGTGCATCAAATTGCAATATTCTGTGCACAGACGATGGCAGCAGTCCAAGTTTTTGAAGGGACAATAACTGAAGATTAGTTTTTAAGACACCATGAACTTGAAGAAACGTAATCTTATGTCCTCTCACAACATGGTTAGCTCTGGTCATTTCCAAATTTTGGAATAGGATATCGATCGCAAGTGGATAAAAGGTGGAAAAACGTTCACGTAATATTTCTGCCAAAAGAGTCAAGCACTTCCACAAATTCTCAATCCACTCCAACCATCCAAATTTACGTCCAACCATGGATAAACATCCTAACAACTGGGGAAGCATTCTCGAAAGAGATTCACTTATTTGCTCAAGAAGGTTCAATTCCAACAACCCAGAAGCTGTAGACCGAAGAATTGTTGAGAAACAAGAAAGTAATGCAAGTAATCTACGGAATTGTTGTGGTGTCCCAGGACACCCATCTTGAAGTAATACATCCATGTCACCCAAGAACTTTGACAATAAACCCAGAGAAAACTGCAAATTACCCACCCAGTGCTTCTGAAACTGTAAGAAACTGTCCATTATGATGTGCCTATCTGAATCGGTTAGATCTGGAACTAATGCCCAACCTAGAAGTAGATCAACGATATCAAGAAAATGAGGTTGGAAACATCTAGAGAACTTCAAAGAAATCAATGTTAAAACTCCTAGGAGTCCATGTAATAAAGACAAAGGGGTTCTCTCATCCTCAAGAAGTACTTGGCATGCTTTAAGAATTGGCAAAGCATATCTCTCTACAGCACCAGCTTCGCCAATGTTAATGAACTCTTGTAATCCCTCCAATGCCAATTTGGTGGTTGCATCACCTGCAGTGACATGGCTAAGCAATGGCAACGCCCAACCAATGAATCGATCAACCAAAGTCCCAAGTAGTACACTATTCTGCCTTCCATTTGGCGATGCGGCGATTGAACATGAGACAGCACAGAGAGCCCCATATGCAATGGCTGCTGCCTGTCTCACTGGGTATGACCTAATATATGGAATCAAGTAATAGTTGCATCAATAATAACATTCTGTGAAGAACATGATGGATCAATGTTTTTAAGAACATTAAAAAAAGAATTAGAAACAATAAACATAAACCTACTAGACCAACTATTCTACTGAGAAAAAATACTAAAAGTTTTGGGAAAATGCATTTGTATCATCCTTGGACAAACCAAAATTTTCGATTGAGTTCAACTTTTTAAGGATCATTTTCCCAGCTTCCTCAAAATTCCAATTTATTGTCTAAGCACATTCCTGGAGAACGCATGAACAGTAAACACCGGTGGGAAAAAAGGGAAACAATGAGAAAATGTAAATGGACTCTCAGCTCGAATCCAAATACAGCACATAATCTTTCGGCATACCACAAAGTGAAAAACGGTAACAACAGTATCAACTGAAAAACGATAGAAAAAGCACGAGAGAAACCTCCAGCAAAGTACAGCCAGAAGAGGAAATCTTACTTATCAGATAGAAGCTGAGAGAAGCCCTGGGAGAGAAAAGTGGAGGAGTGAGTTACGAGAAGCGAATTAGGAGGATAAACAATGGCACGATGGATTGAATTGATAGCTGCAATTCTAGCAGAGTCATCCTCGTCGGAAGCAGCACCGGTGGAAATGGAACTTGAGGTAGTGGCATTAGGATCATCCTTCCGCAAAGCTACGTTGAGAAGCGCCGCTAGTTGCTGCTGTTGATGGTGAAGTCCCTGCATCATCCTTCTCCCGGGAATTTCCTGAAAAAATTCATTTCAAACCCTTCAAAGCCCACAAGAATCCGAATTCTTCAGAATCATTCACTTTCTTTCTAGTACGAAAATTCATTGCAATTCTTTCGCATCCCTGAGGTCCTGAAAACTGGAACTGTCCGGAAAATATTCATCCAGCGACGAGCGGAGTTCTTGGCAATCAAATTTCCAGAGAGCAAATTTCCGCCAGCAGTGTCTAAATCACAGTGAAAAGCTCAAACGATTTCAGAAACAGGAGCATTGGCAGACACTTTGGAAGAAGAAGATGAACAATTTCGTAGCGGTCCAAATTCTCAAACCGTGTTGGGATTTGGAGAAAACTCGGCATGATCATATGTTTATACCAATAGTGTCGAAACTAAAAAATTATCCCAATTTTACTCTCTTTTTTTCCTTTTACTAATTAATAATTCTTTTTATATTATATTTATTTTAATTAAATGCAAAATTAAAAATGAAACAAAAAAAATATTAGAAATTAATTGAATCGAGGTATTAATGAAGAAACTTGATCGAATATAACAATGTCCGAGCTCTTGCTTTGCTTGCATTCTTCATCGGCACTTGTCAAACTGTCTCACTTATCCCGGTTCTAAGGTAAAGAGTCCTCTGTGTGTTAGAATCTTTATGGGAATGAATCGCATATTTTGGTTGAGAATTGCTCGGGAATTTATTGATGGTGACTTTGGCAGGTTCTAGTGGTTCCCCTTTTTCTTTATTTGTCGATTGAGCCGTTTTCGTTTCATTCGTCCAACCTTCACGGACTTGGACAATCGATGCAGAAGATAGTCAATTTGATTGTCAAAGAATAAAGAAACGGACGAAGATTTGGCACTAGATATCCGGAGATATGAAAAGGGCGGTTGTAAAAAACGACAATTGTTCGTGAAAGTTTTCCAAAAAGGCATGTCACATGTGGCTACGGCTGCGGCCGAGAGAATCTAAGTTAGTACACCAAATGAATATGAGTACGAAGATTTGAATATCTAATTAGGAACGTCCATATGATTCGAAACTTCGACCAATTAAAACCATAATCTTAGCCAAATGAATCTAAAGATCCACGTAAATGCTTCCCAGAGACAAATATCTAGTTCACAAAAAAAAAAAAAAAAAAAATATATATATATATATATATATATATATATATATGTATATGTATGTATATATATGTATGTACATATATGTATGTATGTGTATATGTATGTATGTATATACATACATATATGTATGTAGGTATGTATGTATGTGTATATGTATATGCATGTATTATATATATACATACATATATATGTAGGTATGTATGTATGTGTATATATACGTATGTATGCATATATATATATATATATATACGTATGCATGTATATATATGTATGTATATATATGTATGTATGTAGGTATGTATGTATTTGTATGTATGTGTGTTGGATTGGGTTGAATTTTTGAAAAACCAAACATTTGTGTTGGTACGAGAGTTGACTTTTTTTTTTTTTAGAGTTCAACTCGAAAATAGAGTTACAATCAAACTCTACTCTACCTCACTTTTTAAAATTATTATGAATATTAAAAAGATTTGACAATTGGAATGGAGGTTAATGATACGTTGTGACTTGTAAATGTTTGATATTCAAGTTTTACGAAATTTTAATTATTAATATAAAATGTATTGTGGATAAATATGATTTTTTAAAAATAATTATTTATATATATATATATATATATATATAAAGGAACAACCCTGACAACCCAACACAAAAATATGAGGTTGGGTTAGATTAGGTTGTAAACTATATTCGGGTTGCTCAAGTCACTCACCCAACTCAACCCAACCTGTGTACACCTTTATATCAAATTTTAAAAATTAAAGTGAACAAATAAAATCATATATGGTAAATATACGTAGATATGAATTTGCTGAGGTTTTTGGAGGGGAAGAAGTCAATTTTTGCCCGTTAATTTGAAGTTGTATCAATTTTAATCTAAAACTATTAATTTTATCGAATTGTATCTCAAACTTGGATAAATGTTGCAATTTTAACCCTTTTAACCATCTTCCGCTTCAAATGCCGTAAAAAGAAAAATATATATATATCTCTCTCATGCGTTCCATGAATTCTCGATAAATTTCTAAAGAAAAATGCATTAGAGCTAAGACCGCACGGCAAAAGGTCAAATTTGATGACCTTTAAAGTATAAGGTCCAATTCGGCCACATTGAAAGTTTTCCTACTATGCAACTTTTGTAACCGTAAAAACTTGTTTCTGCTCGTCTTGAGAGGGAATTTAAACTTCTGACTTTTGTTTGATGATAGGTAAGTTTTAATCATTTGAGTTATTTCGAGTTTAACAATCTAAACATAATTCAAATAGTCGAGCATTATATTGTCGAGAAAAAGGTAGAGTGTTTGACGTTTTTTTGGAGATACTGAACAAGGATTCAATTAGTGTCGACAAATGTTGAATCGATATTAACTTTATACAAATAATGTATAAACACATATCTATCGTGCTAACACACATTAGACACAGACACAGACACGCTAACCAAACTAAACCGTCATGCATCTTAGGTCAAAACGGTCCATCGAAAAACTACTCCGACCACACACACACCGCCACTCCAGTCCCTACGTCGAAAAATACAAGTGATTTACAGATGGAAGGGAGAAACAGTAAGCTTCCAACAATTTTTGAGTTCATGGCAATACATTACAGAGAAAAGAAAGCCAACTCTTTTTAACTTTTCCATTCAGGGAAGAATATACAGATGGGAGTTTCAAAGTTCAACCACTCTTCAACTTCATGCTTTGAAAACAAGCTGTAAATGATAAAGACGAAAAGTGAACATTGACAAGGTTACAAGGATAATCTGAAACAACAGGGTGTTGTGTAATCAAGACCTTGTTGTCATCTGTTTTTTGAGAAAAATTCCAACATATTTCCATGATTTCCTGTAAAATGCAGACAGTAATGTCAGATATGAGGTTGTCGGATGTATCATTGATGGAAAAACAAAGGTTAGGAGACAAATGAGAAGATAGTTTCTATAGAAGAAGTCTCGTTGTAACAGCCAAAACTCGCCGCTAGCCGATATTGTCCGTTTTGGTCCGTTACGTATCGTCGTCAACTCACAGTTTTAAACGCATGTACTAAGGAGAGATTTCCACACCCTTGTAAAGAGTGTTTGGTTCTCCTCTCCAACCAATGTGGAATCTCACAATTCACCCCCTTGGGAACCAATGTCCTTGCTGGCACACCACCCGGTGTCTGGCTCTCATACCATTTGTAGCAACTCAAATCCACTGCTAGTAGATAATGTTCACTTTGGCCCGTTACGTATCGCTGACAGCCTCACGGTTTTAAAATGCGTCTACTAGGGAAAGGTTTCTATACCCTTATAAAGAATGTTTTATTCTCCTCTCCAACCAATGTAGGATCTCACAATCTATCTCATTGAGGTTCCAACATCCTTGCTGGAACACCACTCGGTGTCTGGCTTTGATACCATTTGTAACAGCCCAAACCCATCACTAGCAGATATTGTCCGCTTTGGCCCATTATGTATCGCTATCAGCCTCACGGTTTTAAAACGAGTCTATAAAAAGAGGTTTGCACACAATGTTTCATTCCCCTCTCCAATTGACGTGGGATCTCACAGTCTCAAAGGGTCTTTTCCCTTCATATTTCTAGCTCTAAGAAAAATATATGCATTTAGTAGCTGTTCTATGTTTCTCGTTTATCATTTTGTGTAATCGTTATCAAAATTGCAAGTAAAGAAAATAGTTCCTTTGTTTTCTGTTTATGATCATTCAAAGATAACTAAAAACATTGTTTATCTTTTTGGTCTCTATGATTGGGAGAAAGTTCATTAAAATTTGATCCTTATGGTTCGATAAAACCTCATAAGTAGTTTCTATCATTTGATAAAACCCTTATAAATAGTCCCTACCAGATTTTATCAAACCATAGAGCAAATTCTAACTTTTAATCTATAGGGACTACTTTATCCTGACTATAAAGAAAATTCTAACTTTTAAACTATAGGACTAAATTCTAACTTTATCTTATCTAGGACCAACGTTTTTCACAATGAAATCGAATACTTTTTGGTCTAAAAAACAATTTTCAAGAAAAATTTTTGATTTTAAAGTTTGAGAAATAGTAAAATGGTTACTAAATGAGAATCAAGTACCAAATACATTTTTCATATTCTTTCTTTTGAAAAAAAAATAAAAGAACAAGAAACAGAAACCTAACAAACAGCCCTTAATTTCCATAACTATGATTAGAGCTAAATTTTCAAGCCAGCCAAATTCTATTGAGATTTAGAATCTTCATGTAAACCCAGAATCCATTTACTTCATAATCAACAGTGGCAATAGTTCACAGGAATCAGCAAACAACAAGTACTAGATTTAATAAGCTATTTGGGTGACATTCAGACAAATAGTCTCCTCTTTGGTTTGCATAATTTCAACTACTTTCCAGGTATATGTAAACATCAAGATAACTATGCTCAAATTTACAAGTTAGAATCTAATGAAGCATGCAGCACAAAGAGTAGCCAACCTTGAAAACATAATGTGATGCACGTCAAATTCAGCAAAAAGATTACCTCGGGTTCAAGTTTTTGTTGGATCGTCGTGGACTCGGAATATTGTAACTTTCAGTGCAGTAGCTTTTATATCAATCAGCTCAAAGACACAAACGTCTTCTTCTTTCAAATCATTCTCCACAACAAAGTCAGCCCATCCCCTGGTTAGCTTGGTGCCAGGACCTTCACGAATGCATCGAACACGCCATTGCTTCCCACTAGAAACCTGAAGTGTGATGTCGCCTGAGACCCCTTTTAGATACTTCTCAGCAAATTTGGACGGTATATGCTGTCGATAATGAAACAGACTTCATTTGTACCATCTACTTGAGAATCACATAATGGAGTGCAGAGCTAAAAGACTTACCAGATGGAACCCTCTTCGAACATAGGATTGCCTCATAACAATCCAGCAAAAGGGATTACCAGGCTTGAACTCCTCGACTCCACACGCCATCCTACTAATTTTATGTGGGATGTTTTCGCTATTTTTTTCCACTATGGGCTCATTGTCATTGTAGTAGTCAACTACATTGAATTTTGTTGTTAAAGAACCAATTTACTTCTGAGAATCTGCAAATGAGTTAAAGAGTGCATTTGTAGAACTTACTTGGTTCAACTTTCAACTTCTTTTTCCTGGCTCTTTCATTTGTTTCATCAGAGAATTCAAAGTCAAAATTCTCTCTAGCTTTTGCAAGCTCGTCCCCGTCGAATTGAATACCAATATCTTGATTCGACTTTAGTAGTTGCAACTTATCTAAATCCTTTAGAGGATGCATGTTCTCTGTATCAAACCAATGCATAAAGTTCTTAATGCTAGTCCCATTGCAACTTCCATTGAACTTCTGCTGATCTGAAAAACCACACAAAGTGTTTTTCACTGAAGGGCGTGGAGAGGGATCCGGAGAACTCGTTCCAAATATCTCAACTAATTTCTTGTATTCAGCTTCTTTTCCAAGTGTAACAGGACATTGTTCGCCATCGTTTTGTTCAGAGGAAGCATTTGAAGTATTGCATGGACCATTTGAAATAGCAGTTAGGTTGAACATGTAAAAGTTGAAAACGGAATTTCCTTCAAATCTGAAAACCAAGAGTTGTCCAACTTGAATGCAATGGTGTTTGACAAAATCATGCCAACCATCCTCAAACCACATACTACGGCCATGTCTTTTTAACTCCAGAACCCATCGATGACCATTCGGAACAACTAGAGTAACAAGATCAGAAAGATCATCTGCAAACTTCTTTGCAAATTTATTTGGTATTTTCTGTGGATACATCAAATTAATCCGTTAAACAAACAATAACACAAACAGAAAGTAACACAATCTGCAGGATTTCTAATGAAAGGTATCAATCATGACTTAACAAAAGTGTTAGAACCAAGCAATAATGGATAGAAGAATGATTTTCTCACCCCTTTCAAAACACTGTACTCCAGCAGTTTTAACTTTGAATTGATCTTAATGCCTATTGAATTTAGTACAATGAATTGGCCACACATTAGCCTAAAGTGAAACAAGGAGTCCCCGCAGTACATCATGAACAGATAGAGCTTGAAAAAAGTTGATCATTCAAAACCAATTAGAAAAGAAAACATGAATCAACGCCAAGAAACGCAAGCTGCAAAAGATAAGCCCCGATTATTCGCAACCAAAATCATGTTCTTGATCATTGATGATCATTCATCAGCTTCCAAATTATTTATCAATACCGCTTTCACACTCTCTCACGATGCAGCAACAGAATTTGGCTTTTGAAAAACAATCCAACGAGACAACCACGGAAAATTTCATACAAAAATCAGCAGTCAACAAGAGGCGATTTCTCTCACAATCAATCTAAATTAACGAATCCATCACTCTCCATCCAAACAGACAAGAAAAAGAAAGCTAAGAAACGATTGATCACTCATATCGAGTGAGCAAAGCAAATGAAAATCAGTCTACATTCACTTCCTAGAACCGAATCTGGATTCCGTTCATTTCCTTTCCCCATAAGAACAACAAAAACAAAATTCACATAGAAACAAAACGAAATACAAGCGGTATCACCAATGACTGATTACCAGCTTCTTGTCTTGAAGAATGGACGGCACTACCAGCTTGTAGAAGAGGCCAGCCCTCCTTACAGGAGAGCTTTCATTGAACGATTGAGCTCCCTCCTGTTCATCTGACTCGACTATGGCTGTAACAGAGTTCTCCATGGAAATTTCAGCAGACCCTTAATTCAATTTCCATTGATTTCTAGCAAAAAGCTCTGCACCCAAAACAACCCGCTGTGTGTGCGCGACAAGGGAGAGAGAAAGATGGAGGATCAAAAAACTATGCTGCGTGTATACAATGTGGGGCCCACCTTGGTAATAACCAATAAAAAAACGACACGTTTAATATAGTGGGTCCCAATAGCTTAAATAAATCGCTAAATTATACACACACACATATATATATATATATATATAAATACTCATTTATATTAATTTTCGAACATTTCAACTTTAAAATTTTCATTAAAATATATTAAAACTTTTAAAATATATATTCTTTTATTAAAAATTATTCCAAAACGTCGTAAAGAAACCGTTATTATCTCATTCAAAATTTTAAATTAAAGTATAAAATCTAAAAAAATCTAAAAAAATTAAAAATTTTCTCAAAATTCACCATATAAGAGAATATTAATTAACCTTGTTTTATAAAATAAATGTGGATTTTAATAAATAAATAAATATATATATATAAAAAGAAAAAGGTTAAAAATAAATAAATAAATAAAGGTAGCTTTGTTGGGATTGTTTAGGAATTTTAGAACTATACAAAGGACAAATTGGTCAGAAAATGATTCTTAAGCATCCCACGTCCTAATAAAGTAATTAGTAAAGATAAAGATACAATTATATATTTTAAATTATTAATATATATATATATATTAATCGTACAATTAACTTTTAATAAATTTAATCAATAATTCTAAAAATTGGCCATAATATATTGTAATTGTTTTTATCTTTGAGTTTTTATTTTATTTTTAGAAAAGAAATTACTTTATAAAACACTGCTATTTTAATTCTCGATTCCATTTTTATTAATTCGTTCACTAATTTATTAATAAAATCAGCATAAAATTAAAATTGGAGTGAAACATTATTTGAAGATTAAAACATTTTGACTGAGTTTAAGGTTAATATTGTAAAAATTATTAAATTTCGAGGTGTAATTTAATAAAATTAAAAGCTTGAGATTAGAATGGATACAAAATTTACTTAATAATATATTAATTTTGTATATTTGGGAAGTACTAATTTTATATTTTTTTTAACCGATGAAGTTGAATAATTTTTTATTTATTAATTTAATTATTTAATTATTTTTTAAATCGTGTTTTCAAAGTACAAGTCAAAATTTAAAAATTTATTTTTAGAATTTAACTAAGAATTATTATTATTATTATTTAGTTTGAAAAGAAGAAAATTGTGGTTAAAAATAGTAAAAAATAATAATAATTAAATGTAATTTTAGAAAAATTAAAGGATTATAAAAGAAAATGTAAGTATTTATTATTTAATTGAGTGGGGGTGGAGTTTATTACTTGAATTTATAGCTTATTTTGTATTTATTACTCTTGAATTTATTCCACTTTTGTGTTATTAGGTAGGTGGGTAGAAATTAAATAGGCTGTCATAAATACTGGATTAATTTAATATTATTATTGAGAATTTAAAAACTATTTATATAATTCAAAATTTTTGAAAACCCGATTAATTAACATTTAATTAAAAAAAGTGTTAACTGATTACTTAAATTTAAAATGTTTTTTTTTAAATTAAACCAATCTTTTGCTTAAAAAAAAAAAAAAAAAAAAAGCTTATTTGTTTCTCCTCTAGAGTTTGCCATCATTCTAGCTCCGGACAATTATCCCACACATTCGAGGAAAAACCTGACCTTTTAACTTTAGCTAAGTTGACCTACCTAGTTTACACGTTAGCTTACTTGTCACGAGATGTTGTGTCTAAATAATTAAACGTATAAATATTACTTTCATCAATGAGTTTTTTCGTTTAATTATGTACTTTCTAAAAGTATTCAGTTTCATTTGTCTTTGAAATTTGGTTAAGAAATCAAATGCTTCGGCAAGAGACATGAAAATAAAATACATAGATATGAGAAAACAAACATAAATTTCAAAAGCAGAAAACTAAAAATGAATGCACTTTCAAACGACATGTCGAGGATTTTGAGGGGAGGCTACAAGTGTTTCGAACAGAGCTGCAAGCACTCATAGTGTAGGCTATCACCCACAGTCCGCTCTTTTATTGAGATTGTCTGTCTGTAGATGCAAAGTAGTGTGTTTTAAAGAATTTTGGGGACAGAGCACAAACCTTAGACCAATCGATCGACTTAGACTTCTAATTGAAGGAGCTGCTAGTCCAACTTGATGAGATACTTTCACCAAGCCGAGTGGAAGGCTCAAGAAAGAAATTGGTCTCGAGCATAAATGTTTTCATGTGGGTTTCGGACCTTATTCACTCGCCTTATCTTCTTTAACTTGGCCTCCCCTCGAGTCTAGTAGCTCTCTAGCCCACAAGAAGACCAGACCATTCCAAGCAAAACAAGAAGAATCAGTGATTTACACAATAAGAGAAAGGTTCTCCTCTTCCTTTGATCCTATCTTTATCAATCACTACACAGACAAAAAGAGAACCAAAAACAAACAGTCTCCATTGATATCAACAAAAATTTGAAAATCTATATACAACTAAAGTCAATACAGCTTTTTGGAACGTAAACTCTAAATGGATCCTTTTTTTTGTCAACCTGGAAAGATTATGAACATCAAACAACAGCTAATTCCACAAGAACAGATCAGAAACAACAGGCTACCACAAAGAAAGAAAGAAAGAAAGAGGTTTGATACAGTAGGGTAACCTGGAAATATGGAGTGTATTAGTTTCTGATCAGCTTAATCTGGGTAACACTTCGCAGCGGAGGAGGATTCATAGTGCCGGTAGGATTCGGGTTAGCCATTCGTCCGCCTTCTTCCATGACACGAAACATGGTAACTTTGAGCACGATTTCTCTCATCCTGAGAAGCTCGAACACACAAACGTCGCCCTCCCCTAAATTATTTTCCAGGCAAAACTCATACCATCCCTGACTTAACTTCGCTCTACCAACTTTATAAAGACATCGGACCGGCCACTGTCTCCCGTCCGGTGTCTGAAGTTTGATGAATCCCGAAACCCCACTTAGATTCTTTTCAGCAAAGCAAGATGGCAAATACTGTAAAAGAGAGTGCAGACTACCATTGTTAGAGCTTGCATAACTCAATTTAAAAGCATCCATTTATATATTTCAGCAACCCAAATATCTTACCATTATACAACCTCTATACAGATACGATGGTCGCAAGACGACCCTGCAGAACGGATTACCGGGCTCGAAAGCTTTTGCAGAGTTGATAGCTCTTTCTCTTTCTTCTGCTGTCACAGTTCTCTTTCTAGCAGAGGCACTTTCATAAAATCTAAAGCGAATGTCTCCTAAATCTTCACTATGAGCAGATGATGGATGGTGCTCGCCTGCAGATCGAAAATTACGGGTAAGGTAATTCAAACATTTACATTGCTAAAATGTCAAGCGATGCGACGGGAGCTTACTAGAATCAGGTTTTCGCTTTTTGCCTCCACTCTTTTTAATTCTGTGTACATCATCACCCAAATTCTGAAATCTCACCTCATCTGCAGATTTTTTAACCTCCATAGCACTAAACTGAACCCCAATATCACGAGTAGATAAATACTCGGCTTGCAACGTACTTGCAGATTTTGATTGGTGCGGATTCCATTCATCACCAAATAGCTTATTTCGCAAAGAACCAGAATTCATGGACTGATTGGAAGGAATGGCTTCAGGAATGTCATAATCCTCCAATTCTTCAAAGATTCTGTTTTGAATGCTGTAATTATTCCTTTGGTTACCACCGAGTGCAGCAGATTGGTAGTTTATTTCAGATGTATTAAGATTAAAGATAAAGACACAGAACGCCGAGTTTCCCTCGTATCTGAATACTAACAAGTACCCAACCCGTATGGAGTAATGCTCAAGAAATCCATGCCAACCATCTTCAAACCAAAATTTGTTATCGACTTTCCTCAAACCCACACGCCAAACATGGCCATCGGGAACAGTAAGGGTAGCAACTCCAGAAAGCTCATCCCTGATCATCCTGACAAAAGTTTCTGGGATTCTCTGTAAATATTGACCAGTGATGGGGGTCACACAAATTATTGATAATATAGAAACTTAACTCCATTCCAACAAATAGAACATATCTGACAAGACGACTGCAGTGGTATGATCATTCAGCAGGCTGATTCAAAGGGAAATGTTGCCTTATTGAAAAAGGAATATAACACTTGATTTATGATTAAAGACACAAAGGAGTTCTATAAAGTTTCCGTAGCCAACCACACAGATATTTTCCATCAGAGATAAAAAAAAATGATGAACAAAAGGGCAATGCAAAGAAAGGAAAGCCCAGCATAAAAGAACCAAGTAAAAGTAAATAACGGCATAGACTGCATTATAAGAAACAAACAACCCCAAAAGATCCAAAGCTTTTATTCTCACACACCAATGGAGGTCTACCTTTCAAAATGAAACAAAACATCTTTCGAAGAATTTTATAAGAGCCTACTGCTGGAGAGCATCTGACAAGAAAGAAATATAAGAATCTTCCAAAAAATGAACTCCCACGCTATAATTAACATGGTTGTGACTTTGCGTAAATGCTCCCCTTATTTCATCACTATAGCTTTCAACTCTCCCTTCCAATTGGAGAGGTCTTTTGAAATTCTCTTAACTGAGGGTCTCCTCTTTCTTTTGTAATTTCATACCACCAATAAAGCAATCCCAAAGCAGTATGTGAACATGATGTGCAGCAAGAATAAACGAAGCTAACACGATGTATAGCAAGAATAACAATACAACAGAAGGAAAATGAAGTTTGTTTGCTTTCATTAAGATCTCATGTGAGATCCCACATCGGTTGGAGAGGGGAACAAAAATATTCTTTATAAGAGTGTGGAAACTTCTTTCTAGCATATGCATTTTAAAAACCTTGGAAGCCCGAAAGGGAAAGCCCAAAGAAGACAATATCTGCTAGTGGTGGGCTTTAGCTAATACAAATAGTATCAGAGTCAGACACCGGGCGGTGTACCAACAAGGACGCTGGGTTGTGATCCCACACAATTGGAGAGAGAAACGAGTTTCAACAAGGACACTCAACCGAGGGGAGGGAACGAAGCATTCTT